GTAAATCAACCCCATTGGTCAGTTTTTATATATTTGGGGATATTCAGAAGGTGAGGATCCTGATGACTGTTGGGATTAAGTGATTAGGGCAGCCAGGTACAGCAGATAAAACCCAGATCGAAATCTAGAACCGATGAAGAGGAAGGCTGAGTTCTGTGCGTCGGTTTAATGCGAAATTTCCATGTCTGAGTGTGCCATTAAATTCTCCATGAAATAAATGTACGGTTCTCTTGTGCTTCTTTGCTACCGGCATCTCTTCTACTGCAGGGTTAGCAATATATCTCTCGCCTGCTCTCCATCACCCGGCTCTCCCTCGGCAGCGATACGGCACGAATCTACAGCACGGCTCGCCCCAGGGTTATTTTATTTTAAATCCTCTAATGTGGCTGAATCATTTAAAGGTCACCATTCTGAAAGAAGGAGCTTTGCTTTAATACGGCGGCTCTGCAGGAATCTCACCCCGATGTGACAGGAGGTCACATGCATCTCACAAATGCCGAGCACAGAGCTCTGGGTCCCCAAAGAGGCTCTAATGTGCTCTTGTGGATGAGACATCGGGGCAGAGGAAGGTAGCTCTGGGACGTCTGTGGGCGGCTTGATGCGAGGACACTAATGGGGAAATTTCAAAGGAACAGCTGAAATATCGGTCTAGCAGGGTCATTGCCAAGGAGCAAAATATGGAGTTGGGTAACCCATGGGAACTGGTCAGCAGCCATCTATTATTGATCGTTCTGATTAACTGATTTAGATTATTTGAACACTAGATCTTGCACTGCTTTGTTAAACACAACCTACCTGAGTTCTAATTTAAATTAACATGACAAACTGAAATTGCAAAAAAAACAAAACAAACAACTTGTCTCCTCCTCCCATGCTTGTCTTCAGGACTTCTCCAGAGCTTGCCCCGTCCTCTGGAACTCTCTATCCCAATTTATTAGACTATCGCCTACTCTGCTCACTTTTAGGCGATCTCTGAAAACCTATCTCTTCAGGGAAGCCTATCCTGCCCTCAGCTAATAATGGAATCTTCTACTCCTCCTACCAGTCCATGCCCCACAGTTATTATCTTTTGTACCACTAGCCCCTCCTTCTTAGATTGTAAGCTCCCAGGATCAGGCCCTCCTAACCCTCTTGTATTGAACTGTATTGTTGCTGTATTGTCTCCCGTTATATTGTAAAGCACTGAGCAAACTGTTGGTGCTATATAAATCCTGTATAATAATAATATATAAATCCTGTATAATAATAACATATAAATCCTGTATAATAATAATAAAAATAATAATATTGGCCTCATTCACACAGGCACAGAGGCCTTTAGGCGGGTGTAGGCAGTTTTTTTTTTTTTTTTTTTCAATCAGTCAGCGGGCTGATAAAAAGAAACCTAAATGGATTCTCCCATCCACGTAAGCAGGTTGAATGGAGGAATCCTCTCCATTGTGCTGTTTTTTTTCTGACAGCGGGAACCCCTCTGCTGTCAATATACACTGATCAGCTCTGCAGCAGCTGATCAAATTTGAATTTTCCAGCAGGAGTGGGAACAGCCATATTGGATTGAAATTTGGCCAGTCCCTGCTGAACTGGTCGAATTTTATTGAATCTATTGCCAGATTTACAGCACGAATGAGGCGTTTGTTTATACCTCTGGAGCTATGTCTGTGTTAGTTCATGGAGATACTGGGTGTGTGTGAAAACACCCGCGAATTTCAGTTAGACAGACATGAGTGCGGCCCCAAAAGCAAGCAGTGATGTTCATAAATCCACATCTCCATTTACTAGCATAGGTTGCCTGTACTCAGGTCCAGACATGTAAACAAATGCCTCATCCACCCTCTACGGGCCTCTGCAACCCTGTGATTGAGGACTTTCTGAGGAACAGGCAGCAAGATCATGCGTAAAAGGTGGTGCGCACTGCATTTCGATTCATACAGACATATACATGCTTAGGTCCATATGTGTGGAGATGCGTACTATGTAATGTCTTCCTGCACCTAGTGAACTCAGGGCTCAGATGTAGACATTGTGTAGTCAGTGGTGCAGGCGTACAATGATCTCAGCTTCCATTCATTCTAAATGGCTGAAGACCATGGTTGTTCTGAGCAAGGGCGGACTGACCATTTGGAAACTCGGGCACTGCCCGAGGGCCCGGGGTCAGTAGGGGGCCCCATGAGATGCCCCTGATACCTTTTTCATAGGCTTTTTTGAGTTTGGGCAAGGACACAGGGGTCCCATGATCCCCTATTGCCCGGGGGCCCCATGAGTTGTCAGTCCACCCCTGGTTCTAAGTATGGGTCGCCAAAGACTGGTTGTGTTTACATTCCTCCCTGAATAAGTCATTTATGACCACAGCCTTAATTCATTCAGAATGATTGGAGGTCCCAATTATTCTGCATCTGCACCACTGACCAAACACTGTTTACATCTGGGTATCTCAGTATGTACATAAAACATATGTGCACAATGACGTATGCCTCAAATGTAGACTCTCTGCATTCAGGTATACATCTATATATGTGCGCATGGTATACGCATGTACTGGCACATACCAGCGTACAGCCACATCTTAAATTGCTGTCTATGGGTGGCTGAATGCAGCAGCTATGGGTTCTGGGGAAGTTTTATACAGAGGTTCTTGGCATTTATGTACACCATATGGCCCCCTTTCAGCTGTATGCATGAGCCCTTAGGACCCTTTAACACCACTTGTTGGGCATTCATGTACTGTGCCCCTGATGATGTCATTTACGACGAAACATGTTGGGTGGAGCCAGAGACTGTGACATCATCAAGCATGTGAACGTATGACGAGAAATTCTGGTATTTGTAGTTTTTTTTATGTCTTTATGCACAGCATCTATGTGAGTGTTTCTAACTGTATTTAAGTTAAATATATGTCCGATTTACACTATTGGAGCTGTCTTTTTGCCTTTTGTATGTATAATGCATCAATCCTGTTTATGTGAATGAGAGATGAGCTCCTAGAAAGGTGTTAAGCTTGGTGGTGACCAGGGGTGGACTGACAACTCATGGGGCACCCGGGCAATAGGGGATCATGGGGCCCCTGTGTCCTCGCCCACACTCAAATCATACCCTATGAAAGGAACCAGGGGCATCTCATGGGGCCCCCTACTAACCCCGGGCCCTTGGGCAGTGCCCGAGTTCCCAAATGGTCAGTCCGCCCCTGGTGGTGACTGATCTTTAGGGTAACATACAAGCATTTTCTGACTTCTCATGCAAGGGTCACAGTCTCTCTGGTAAGCCTCATGGTGGTTGGTGGAGCACATGGGGTGTTATGGATGCACACAATATTGAATTCAAGGGGAGGATTGCTTCCTTTTTTTGGCACTTTAATTTTCATTCACTTGGTGGGAGTCACATATATAGAACTTTGGACTTTATTTTTATAAATACGTTTGATTTTTGTTATTTTATGTTTTTAGCACTATCTGTGTCTTTAAGCGTATGAAAGCCCTCTGAAATGAATAGGCTGTCAAAAACGCATCGTGTGTGAACGCTAAATGGCCTTTTAAGATCAAATAACTCACTCCCCTCACTTCCATGATGCAGTGCTAGGAGCCCATGTGGCCAATTTTCAGGTGGTGCTCGATCATGTTGGGGTGGTGAGAAAAACCTTACCTCCGTGGACGCTTTGATTCGAGTTTGCTCAGTTTCTTTTTATTTCTGATGACTGACTGGAGAAGTGATTATTTGCAACTGGGGAGGGAGAATTAAAGTGGAGCTGCTGCTTTGCTCTGCAAAGAACAGGTTTGCTTTAGGGCACACGTGGATGGGCATTGTTTTGACATGCGTTACGCACATAAACATAGGTTAGCAAATTCCCATTTACTTCAATGGAGTGGAGTAGATGACAGTTCAGAGGCTGCAGCTGACTTGCTTTGAGATACATTTCTGCGGAAAGCGACAGGTCCTCTTTAGGTATGCCTGAACTGCAGACAAAGCAGGTCAAATGCAGCCTTCTCTGTACAAGATGTCTATAACTATTATAATACTCGTAAATCGTGCGGGCATATGGCAACAGCAGGATAATCCTGATCTGTATACTTCTTCTGAGCAAGGAGAAAAGAGAACCCACCAAGAGAAATCATGAGAGCCAGACAATTAGCATTTTTGGAAGGAGTGCTCAGCAGCAGCGGCGGACTGACAACTTATGGGGCCCCCGGGCAATAAGAGATAATGGGGCCCCTGTGTCCTTGCCCAAACTCAAAAAAGCCTATGAAAAAGGTACCAGGGTCATCTCATGGGGCCCCCTACTGACCCCGGGCTCTCGGGCAGTGCCCGGGACTGACAACTCATGGGGCCCCCGGGCAATAGGGGATCATGGGTCCTTGCTCACACTCAAACCACACCCAAAAATAGCCTATGAAAGGTACCAGGGCATCTCATGGGGCCCCTTATTGACCCCGGGCCCCCGGGCAGTGCCCGAGTGCTGCAATGGTCAGTCCGCCCCTGCTCAGCAGTGGGAGCCTCCTTATGGTTTCCAACCATTTATTGCAAATATTCTGTCCTCTGTGTACTTGCTGATAGCAGCTATCAGGCAGGCATGCTACGCACTTGAGGCGTGTGAAATGCATCAATTATTTTGCGTCCTAATTGTGTCAACAAGAAATGGGTATATGCTGCTGCAGTCCTGAATATTGAACACACCCAAATATACAAGGAGCGTTGGTGCATTCACAATTTGGGACCAGCAGCTATGTGTACAGATCATGGATTTCCAATTCAAATAAACAGGAAATGTTCTAGAAAAGCCAGATAAATCCAGTACTCATAAAATGAGCAACAAAAGGTCACAACAACACTGCATAGAAAATGAACACAAACTGTACTGAAAAGAACTAGGCTTTATGTACTAAAAGAATAGATAGGCTGTTTAGCCCAGAAAATATACACTGTATTGCCAAAAGTATTGGGCCAGCCCTCCAAATCATTGGATTCAGGTGTTCCAATCACCTCCATGGCCACAGGTGTATAAAATCAAGCCCCTAGGCATGCAGACTGCTTCTACAAACATTGGTGAAAGAATGGATCGCTCTCAGGAGCTCAGTGACTCCAAGCGTGGTCCTGTGATAGGTTGTCACCTGTGCAATAAGTCCATGTGGTATTGTGGTGGTATGGTAGTGGTATTATTACAAAGCGGGACCAACTGGGAACAACAGAAGCTCAGCCACCATGTGGTAGGCCACGTAAAATGACAGAGCGGGGGTCAGTGCATGCTGAAGCGCACAGTGTGCAGAAATCATCAACTGTCTGCAGAGTCAGTAGCTAAAGACCTCTAAACTTGGTGTGGCCTTCAGATAAGCACAACAGTGAGTAGAGAGCTTCATGGAATGGGTTTCCATGGCCGAGCAGCTGCACCCAAGCCTTACTACATAACCAAGTGCAATGCAAAGCGTTGGATGCAGTGGTGTAAAGCACGCCGCCACTGGACTCTAGAGCAGTGGAGACGTGTTCTCTGGAGTGACCAATCACACTTCACTGTCTGGCAATCTGATGGACATGTCTGGGTTTGGCGGTTGCCAAGAGAACGGCACTTGCTTGACTGCATTGTGCCAAGTGTAATGTTTGGTGGAGGGGGGGGGATTATGGTGTGGGGTTGTTTTTTCAGGGGTTGGGCTTGGCCCCTAGTTCCAGTGAAGGGAACTCTTAAGGCGTCAGCATACCAAGACATTTTGGACAATTTCATGCTCCCAATTTTGTAGGAAGAGTTTGGGGATGGCCCCTTCATGTTCCAACATTACTGCGCACCATTGCATAAAGCAAAGCTTATAAAGACATGGATGAGTGAGTTTGGGGTGGAGAAACGTGACTGGCCTGCACCTCGACCCCATAGAACACCTTTGGGATGAATTAGAGCTGAGACTGCGAGTCAGACCTTCTCGTCCGACATCAGTGCCTGACTTCCCATACATTTCCATAGACACACTCCTAAACCTAAAATTTAGGCCAAAAAGTATTCTGCTACATGTCTTTGGTAAAACAAAAATAGCAATAAGTGTATATTAATTGGTTTCTTTGAAAGTTATCCACAGATGATGGTATATATACTTGAATTTGTATTTATTTTTTATACTAGTAATGGCAGTGGTCAACAGCTTATAGTGGGACTGTGATAGTGTGGCAGGCGATCTGACCCTGACACTGGGTGGTAACTGACTAACTGACACTAACATCACTTATGACACTAATACAGTGATCAGTGATAATACTATACACTGTTACTGTACTAATGACACTGGCTGGGAAGTGGTGAACATCTTGGGGTAATCAAAGGCTTAAAGCTGAGCTCCACCCAAAAGAGAAAGTTCCACTTTAAGGACTGCTCCCCCGCTCCCCATTAAGGATTGGCACCTTTGGGGGGCGGGGGGCGGAGCCGATACCCGAATATGACAGGTACCCACTCCCCTTTCCAGTCCGATCACCTAGGCGATCGGAAACGGAAAGTGTCCTCCCTCCCTCCCTGTAGTTTTTTGGGACACGTGACAGGTCCCAGAAGACTACAGGACCATTTGTAGTTCCTGACTTTTATTTTTTGACAGGGTGAGTGGGACTCCGCTTTAAGTGTATGCTTAACAAGTGTTAATGTGTGTAATATGTGCTGCGATGTACTTAAAAATTTGCAGGGGAGAAGAAACAAAGTGATTGTTCCCTCTGTACAGAGCCCTGTGTTGACAAATAACACAGGGCTCTGGACTGTGATCAGACACAGCTGATCAGCAAGTCCCGGTCATGAATTATTGGCTGGGACCACTTTCCATCCTGAAGGATCCTATTGTTGCTAAAGAAGCTGAAGGTAAAGGTGATGGACTGGCCAAGCCTGTCTCCAGACCTAAACCCTATTGAGCATCTGTGGGGCATCCTCAAGGTGAAGGTGGAGTAGCACAAGGTCTCTAACATCCAATAGCTCCGTGATGTCATCATGGAGGAGTGGAAAAGGACTCCAGTGGCAACCTGTGAAGCTCTGGTGACCTCCATGCCCAAGAGGGTTAAGGCAGTGCTGGAAAATAATGGTGGCCACACAAAATATTGACACTTTGGGCCCAATTTGGACCTTGTCACTTAGGGGTTTACTCACTTTTGTTGCCAGCGGTTTAGACATGAATGGCTGTGTTGAGTTATTTTTAGGGGGACAGCAAATTTACATGTTATACAAGCTGTACACTGACTACTTTACATTGTAGCAAAGTGTCATTTCTTCAGTGTTGTCACATGAGAAGATAGAATCATATATTTACAAAAATGTGGGGGGTGTACTCACTTCTGTGAGATACTGTATATATATATATATATATATATATATATATATATACACGCCTTATAGCAGCACCAATAGAGCTCTCCCAATCACAACTTCTTTTTTTCCATCCCTTCCAATGGAGATATATCCTCCGGAAAAATTAAATATGGTGTAATGCCATCAATAACTCAAAACGTGTCCTCGTGCTCCACTCTGAAATCAATGGTGACCACCAGTGACACGTGATAAATTCACTCCACACCTCACAGACCATGCACCTTACCGGACCAGGTCATCTGTGTCACAACCCCATTCTATGTGGTTGCTATAAAACATACATTCACATTTGTTTCTGCAGCAGACTGGGAATACTGTGGATCGGGATGTGCGGTTTCTACTCTATGCTTTTTGGCTGACGTAAGGTGCATGGTCTGTGAGGTGTGGAGTGATTTATCACGTGTCACTGGTGGTCACCATTGATTTAAGAGTGGAGCACAAGAGGACACGTTTTGAGTTATTACACTGTATTTAATTTTTCTCTTATGGAAGGGAGGATGGAAAAGAAGTTGTGATTGGGAGAGCTCTATTGGTGGTACCTGTTATAAGGCGTCTATATATATACAGGTGTACCTCGGTTTATGAATTTAATTCGTTCTGGGGGACTTTTCGTATTGCGAAAAATTCAGAAACCGAAACGCGGTTTCCCATAGGAATGCATTGAAAACCAATTAATCCGTTCTGGAGGTTAGAAAAAAGTAAAACAAGAGTCTTTTATCTGTTCAAAACTCTTTATAAAGTGCACTTTAAAGGCATAAATACCGTACAGGGACATAATTAAAAATGAATTTGTAAATGCATTGAAAAACAATGAATCCGTTCCAGAGGTCAGAAAAAAGTCAAAAAAAGTTTTATCTGTTCAAAACTCTTTATAAAGTGCACTTTAAAGGCATAAAGGGACATGAATAAAAAAAAATAGTAAATGCATTGAAAACCAATTAATCCGTTCCGGAGGTCAGAAAAAAGTAAAAATAAGTCTTATCTGTCCAAACCTCTTTATAAAGTGCACTTTAAAGGCGTAAATACTGTACAGGGGCATGATTAAAAAAACATTTGTAAATGCATTGAAAACCAATTAATCCGTTCTGTAGGTCAGAAAAAAGTAAGTATTATCTGTTCAAAACTCTTTATAAAGTGCACTTTAAAGGCATAAAGGAACGTGATCAAAAAAAAAAATCGTAAATGCATTGAAAACCAATTAATCTGTTCCGGAAGTCAGAAAAAAGTAAAAAAAAAAGTCTTATCTGTCCAAACCTCTTTATAAAGTACACTTTAACCGCCTCCCGCCCGCCATATAGTCCAATGACGGGTGCAAGGTGGTTCTCTCGTTCTGGGAGGACGTCATATGACGTCCTCCCATTCTCACCGCGCATGCGTGGCTCTGGGAGCGCGCAGCACGGCAATCGGCGGTGTGCTGTGTCCCCTGGACACAGTGGATCACCGATCCACGGAAAGAGCCAAAGATGTTGGCTCGGTCATGTGATCAGCTGTGTCCAATCCAGGGGCGGACTGACAACTCATGGGGCCCCCGGGCAATAGGGGATCATGGGGCCCTTGTGTCCTTGCCCAAACTCAAAAAAGCCTATGAAAAAGGTACCAGGGGCATCTCATGGGGCCCCCTACTGACCCCGGGCCCTCGGACAGTGCCCGAGTTTCCAAATGGTCAGTCCGCCCCTGGTCCAATCACAGCTGATCACATGTACATAGGGAAATGCGGGTTATCGGCATTTCTCTCCTTACGAGCTGTCACTCTGACAGAGGAGAGGAAGGGGCAGGAAGGGGGTATAAGTGCCCGGTAGGCTTGCGGTTAAAAGCATAGTACTGTACAGGGATATGATTTAAAAAAAATCATATATGCATTGAAAACCAATTAATCCCGTTCGTATTGCGAAAAAAATTCGTAAACCGAGCCATTATTTTCAATGGATTTTCATTCGTAAACCGAAAATTCCGTTAACTGAGGCGTTCGTAAACCGAGGTACGCCTGTATATACAGAGGGTAAGGGTAGGAATTACAGGCGTACAGAAGTGATCACATGGTGGAGTGATTAAACACGGATTTGTTACACATTTTGTGAGTGCGATTCTTTCTATATAGCTGTGTTTATACTGAGGATAATGCACTATGTGTGTTTCTATAATTTTTTTTTGAGGACATCATGTAGAAGATGGAATAAGAATCATGTATGGTTGAACACTGAATAAGAAGGAGGAGAATTTTTCGCATGATAGCAGAGACATGTACGGACTCTGAGAGAGACTTTTACTTTGTTTTGGACTTTCTGGGGGAAAAAAGTGATATCTTTACGTCTAGGGATATACACATACTGTGTTAGCTAAAAGGTTACCGGTTCCTAAGATATTTGATCGCCCTTCCTGCCCACATCCAATTACCCAGCTGCCTGGGCCCCTTTGCTGGCCTAGGCCCCGTACAGGAAGAATGGTGCTACCCCCTTATCCACAGCCCTGACTTCAGCAGTGAGATGTAGAAGTTTTGGGTGTTTCTATCCAACTTTTTGTATTCTAGCGCCTCCTATTACATTCTTTATAAAACAAAGTACCTCCGTTTAGATTGTAAGCTCCTCAAGCAGGGCCCTCCTATTCCTCCTGTATTGAACTGTATTGTAATTGTATTGTCTCCCTTTATATTGAAGAGCTGCGAAAACTGTTGGTGCTATATAAATCCTGTATAATAATATTAATTAATAATATATACAGGGGAGATACAATAGATATAGAGATTAAATAAAAATACAAGGAGAGCTGGGACCCCTCATAA